CCCCCCCCCCCCCCCCCACCCGGCCCCTGCCCCACGGAGCTGTGTGCCCCTGACATTGTTTCACTGCCTGTGTATCCGAGCGACCTTCAGGCCTTGTTCCATCTGATTTATCCTGGACCCCAGCAGAGAGCCTGGTGTTGGAACGCATAAATGAGTGGGGAGGGAAGGACCAAAGTCCAGAGCCCGCCTCCACCCTCCTGCTCTTGAGTTGGCAGGTGTGCTTGTTCACAGTGGCCTGTGTCTGCCCAGGGTAGTGGGAGAGGTGGGCCACAGGTATGGGCTGCCTTATGTGTTCATGGGCATTGCTGGGCTTGGCTTGGGAAGTCGTTTCCTTGCCTTTGTGGATCAGTCACCCATACCTATCTGGTCTCATAAGCAGTGGCACCTGCCACTGAAGCCAAGGACTGGCCTCTGTGTACTGTTGTGCACACATATGTCTGCTTATCCACCTACTGCTCATCTAAGAAATACTGGCCAGTACCTGTGCTGGCCTCAGAACACCCTAATGAGTGCACACACACACTGTCCCCGCCCCCACCCTAGAACAGCAGTGTAGCAGTTTTGTGGGTGTTTGTTTGTTTTGTGGGACAGGGTGTCACTATGTTGCCCATTCTGACAGAGATCTTTCGATCTTCCTGCCTCCACTTCCTCAATGCTGGCATTGTAGGCCTTTGCCACCACACCTGGTCTGTGCAGTGCTGGGGATAGAACCCCGGGGCTTTGTGCATTCTAGGCAAGCACTCTACCAAAAGAACTCCATCTCCAGTCCCACAAGGGCAGTTCTGCCTATTCTTGGCCTTGCTAACTTGCTGGGTGTGTACCCCTGTCTGACTCCCTGCTGCCCACCCCTCCCAGGGATTTCGGTGGCCTTGCCCAGCCCTGTGTCCTTCCCTTCCAGCCTGGCAGGCGGTGTGGGGGCTGCTTGGCTGGCTTGCCTCTGGCTGAGGCCCAGGTGCAGGCTTGCTCATGGCCCCATACCCCCCCCCCCACCAAAAGCTGGGCAGACAGGAAAATACCAGACATAGTTGTGCAAAGGTGGCTGCAGGCGGGCAGGCAGCAGGAGGTGGGGGCCCGAGAAGGGGGCCCAGAGCCACCAGAACATTTGGAGGCTCCTTGACTGGACAGACCTTGCTGTCAGAGGGCCACATGCTTGCATGAGTGGATGTGGAAGTGGAGGCTGTTGCCGCAGGACAAGGAAGCCCCCCCCCCCAGGGCTGATGAAGGGTGCAGGGGGAGCAAACCTGTCAGCCTTTTGTTTCAGCTCTGGATGACCTTGGTAGATTCACTGTGTGGGTCACCCCCAGCCTGGGGGAGAAGTGAGAATCTCCAGGGCTCCTAGTTACTAGCATCTTCCATGTGCCAGGCACTGGGCCAAGGCTTGTCCCATAGAATGCCCTGTATATCTGGGATCGTTATTGTGGTGCTTGAGTTACCAATGAGGAAACTGTCCTGTGGAGGCTTAGAAGGTGACTGGGACCTGTCTGAGGCCACACAGCCAGAGGAGGCTACAACCAGATAGTAGGATGCTGGCTTTGCTCTGTGAACGTGCTATAGCCAAGTTCTCTGCAAACTGTGCTCGGACGCTGCTCAGACGGTCCCCAGTATCCTCTAGCAGAGAAGCGTTTGGATATGGATTGGTTGTCTGGGGACATCTGAGTTTCTGAGGTGGTATTTGTGGGCTAGGTGCCCCTCTTGGGACTTGGAGGGGGCAACACCTAACCATGGGTTTCCAGGGAAGGCAAACCCCAAACCCTTCCAGAAAGTGCAGTGGCTCTGGTCTCCTCCCTAAGCCTGGGGAGGCCTCTGACCACTGCATCCTCCTTGCAGGGCCACTTAGTGCTCAGTCAGGCTCCACAGGGAGGGCTTCCCCCGGTGCCCCCCCCAAACTCTGTGGTCACTCTACAGGACAGTAGAAGTCCAAGGCTCTCCAAGGGGTACAGGCCAGCCAAAGTTCTGGTCTGGAATGAGATTTTAATGTTTGTGGGTACATAGGGAGGGCCAGTCCTCCTGGGGGCTGTCCTTATAGACTTGAGACTTAAGCAGTGGTATTACTTAGGATGGGTTTAATAAGTACCTCTTGTGTGTATCCCACCTTAGGAAAGAGGAGGAGGGGGTCAGGGGACATGGCAGGAAGCAGAGGAACAGGGTTGGGGCTCCATGTGGTCTGACCAATGTTTGGAACCCTGCCTGCTGCCTGGTTGGGAAGGGGGCCCTGAAAGGTCCCGTCCCTGCCATTGCCTTCCAGCCTCCCTCACTGGGCGGCCAAGGAGGGTGGAGCTCTTGGCCAGAGTAGGGAGCACAGCCGGTTCCCAGGAATGTGGGGTTACGGGCAGTTTGCTTTGGCAGCATTGCTGCCTCAGCTCTCCCAGCCTTCTGGTGGCCCCCCGACCCTGTCGTCTCTTCCAGTGCCCCACCCACTGCCTGCCCGCTGCCTTTCCTGATTCTGCACCTAGCTCCAGAAGCCCTCTGGATTGGGAGGTGGTGACCAACCTAAGCAAGTCCAAGGACACAGGAGGGGTGATAAACCCTGTGACCCAGGGCAGGGCATCTGTAAAGTAGCATGAACTGTCACCTGCTGTAACAGATGCTGGCATGTTAGACCATCAGCCACTGGCTGGGGCAGTCACTGTGATAGGCACCATGGCTTTGGTCTTGGCCTTGCCACCCATGATTACAACCGGGGGCAGGTATATCCCCCAGTCTTCAGATTCCTAGTCTGTAAGAGTGGAGTACTAAAGTAAGGGTCCAAGTTACCAGACTCGGAGACACACACCAGGGCCTGTGTGTGTGTGTGTTTGCGCGCATGCGCGCGCATGTGCTAGTCCAGACTGACCTGGAACTTACTGTGAAGCTAGCCTTGATTTACTGATCTAACTGCCTCCATCTCACAAGTGCTAGTATTATAGGCATGTGTCACCATGACTGACTGTATCTTGGGCCCGTGGCAAGTTCTAGGCTGGGTTTGCTATAGCTCACCAAATGAGCAATTTCAAGACTACCCCTGGTGAAATGGTGTGTTCTTCATTAGTCACACTGCTGTGAGGTAGGTGGACAAGGATACAGACCCCACCTTGCTGAGGTCCTAGTCCTTTAATGTTTGCCAGGGACTAAAGAACTATCTAGCATAGGTAACCCTCCCTCTTTACACCTCCAGTCTCAAGGCCAACCAAATGCCCTCTCTCGGGCAAAGAAAGGACGTCATCCTGAGCAGGATTCCAGTCCCCTTCTATTAGCTTGGTGACTTTGAAGCTCGGTTTCCCCAAGAGGAAGGGATGGTGGCAGATAGGTCTATAGGGGGCCGGATGCCCTGCAGGAGCTGCAGCTGGGGGCCGTCTGCGCAGGGTCAGCAGCGGGCACACAATAGCAGTCATTGTCTTGGTATGGCTGGCGGGGGTGGAGTGGGGTGGGGTGGGGGCACCAGCCCACCCTCAGGGTGACCCCCCCCCTTGTGGGAGGGCTGTCCCCACCCCTGCTGCCCCGGTGGTCCCTGCTCAGCCAGCCCCCTCTCTCGCTTCCTCCCTCACTGCCGCTTCCTTCAGCTCCCTCTGTTCTAATTAGTTCCTTTTGCAGCTGGAGGATCCTCGTGGGGCCTGGGTCATGCGACCACCTCTTTGAGGGCTCCCTTTGCGGACCCATGCAGGTGGGCGTGTCACAGGGCGTACCCAGCCTACCCTGAGTGAGCTCTGTGAGGTGCAGCTAGCTCAGCGATTGCAGCTGCACAGTCAGAACAGGGTGTGAGGCACTCAGCCATCCCGACCAGTAGGGAAACTGAGGCCCTGTTGGTTTCCCCAGCAAGGTTGGGATAGTGATGGGCTGTGTGCTCACTGCCCCTTGACACTGCATCCGTGAACTGGAAAATAGGTGGGCCCCTACCCCTGCGAACCACTCATCTCCAGAACTCTAAGGGCAAGCAGCTGGGTTGTGGCTGGGGAGGCAGCTTCACCTTTTCTGGGTCCCCCCCCCACACTGTCCTTGTTCTAAGCATTTAAATCTGGCTCTGGAGGGGCTGAACCGCAGAGGCTGTTTGGAAGAGTGGGGGACCTGCCCCTCACTTGCACCTTCACCTAGCTCAGTAACAAAGAGCTAAAAAAGAGCGAAGCTGAGCTCAGACTGGCTGATGCTGGTTGGGAATGGGAACAGGGAGAGGTTGGCCAAGGTCAGAGCATGAGTGGGGTCATAGGCCGTCTACTCCCTGGGGGGCTATGGGTAGGGAAACTAGTGAGACTCCTTGGGGCGGCTCCTTCCTCCTTTCCCAGGAGGGGCTGCGGCGCCTGGGCTGGGTTCTGGCTTCCAAAAATGACCCCCTACCTCCCTTGGCAGAACCCAGGGACAGGAAGTGAAGGGGTGTCCCTGGAGACTGGGTCAGCTAATGGGGGGGCAGTGATTGGCGTCCCCTTTCCTGCAATGAGTGCTCCACCCAGGGAGGGCTCCTGCTGGGGCCTCTCCAGTCCTAGGTGAACACCGCACTGTTCCGTGGGGTCCCCAGAACCTGGTGACACACCAGTGGCTCCTCCTAGGCTCCCTCTGGCGGGAGGACAACATGGGACAGGAGCAGGTGCCAAAGGATACTGCTGGGTTGGCACTCTGACTACGAGTCAGCACTTGGGTTTTCTAGCTCAGGCGCCATGCCAGTGATCTTCTTTTTTCCACGGTGGGTATTGGGGGCAGGGAGGCCTGTGGCCTTGGGCCAGAAGAGGGACCAGGCCACCAGCCCTTCCTGGCTCCTGAATTCTTAATCAGCATAAATATTTACTTCCTTCCTCCCCTTCCAGGCTCCCAGCATAGAGCAGCTTCAGGGAGGTTGGACTGGGCCAGTGTCTAAAAATAAACAGGTAGAGAGACAGACAGACAGACATAATGGGCTGCAGGTCAAGCAGAGGGCAGCCTTTGCCTAGACAGGAATGGACAAGCAGGTCCAGGACCACCCATCACTGTCACCTACCCATCTACCTAAGAGGGTCACCAAGGTGTCAGTGGGGACAAATGCATCTGACAACTTCAGTGGGGACAAGTGTGGACCCAAATCTCAGTCAGGAGGGGCTTCCTGTGCTCCAGTAAAGCAGCCTTGTGTGCCCAGCTCCCATGGAGCCACTGTAGTGGGAGCTGGGGCTATGTCCTCACAAGCAGTATCTCAGGCCAAGGAAGGGAATGCCCTGAAGGGTGGAGCTTGTGGAAGGCGATGGGAAGCATGTGCAGGGCTGGGATGCAAGTGAGGACCAGGTGAAGCTGCCTTAGAGTCTTGGCTTGGAGAAGAGATGGTTGGGATACAGTGGCTGTCCGCTGCCTTGCTCACCCTGTAAGGGCACTTTTCTGGTTGCACATGGCTCCCACAAGCCCCCACTGATACACTCAATACACTGCTCCAAGTGTTTCCCAGGCAGTGGCTTTCCAGCCATGGCCACTTTTTTTTTTTTATTAAATACAGTGGTAGAATCCTATAGCGTGGTTGTTTAGTAAAAATATTCTCAAGGTGTGACAATCTGAAAGTGAACAAAGGTAGGGGAAACGAGGGGGTTTCTCATGGGCAGAGAGACTGCTGCTGGAAAAATTAAGTGAGTTTGGTGTTTTAGAGCTGGCCATGTTCTTAGGTCAGTGGAGCCTGTGAGTCCACCCATGGATATGAAGATTACAACAGTCAGAAATTGTACAAACTGGAGGAATATCACAGTATGGAGTTATAAGAATATTGTTACAGCTTTTTTTTTTTTTTTTTTTTAAATACTATCTGCTGTCCTTTCCTGGTCCTGACAGACTCTGCATGGCTGGCGTGGCCACAGCCCTCAGCCGCCCCCTGGTGGCTTGTGAAGGCCTAACCTCTGTCTTACCTGAAGGTTCAGTCCTTATCTTGGCCCACTCCCACGGCCAAGTTTTGCACAGCCTGCCTGGGACAGGCCCTCAGCCTGCTTCCCTTAGAGGTGACATAGTTCCCTGCCCTCAGCAGGCACTTCTGGCATAATGGGTGCTTCATTGGCTACTGAGGAATGCTACCTACATCTTGGAGGATGTTTGTTGCTCCCCAGCCTGCTTTTAGGTTTCTGAATTCAGACTGGCAGGCTTCCCAATCTATCAGCAGTGACAGCTGGGACTTAGCCAGTTAGTTCCTGGGAGATGTAGCTTCAAGTCTAGCTGTTCTGCCAGCTTGTGAGTTCTGTCACTGGGACCAGTATTCTCACTGTTAAATGGAGACCACAGACTTGGCCTATCCCAAAGGTCTATGGGGAGTGGCAGTGGAATCTTGCACTGTTTAGATGCTGACTCTCCATGATATGCGTGAGTCAGGCCATTCAGGATGTTGTCTCTACTCCTCTGCTGCTTCGAGTTTTACGGTATAGCTAAGGAGAAACCTAAGGTTACAGTGTCACCGCACAGCTTGTGTCCTTCCCCAGGTTCCTGCCTGAAGACCAGCTGGGTACCCTCTCTGACCCTCCACATCACCATGCACTCCTTGGACGAGCCGCTTGACCTAAAGCTGAGCATCACCAAGCTCCGGGCGGCGAGAGAGAAGCGGGAAAGGACACTGGGTGTGGTCCGGCATCATGCTTTGCATAGGGAGTTGGGCCTGGTGGACGATAGCCCCACGCCTGGCTCCCCAGGCTCCCCCCCACCAGGTACTGTGTCTCCATGCTTGTCCATTCATCCTATAAGTGGGTGAGACCTGCCCAGTTTACTCAGTGGACATGTAAAACTAGCTCCAACCAGGGCCTGTGGAAGGATCTGGAAAAGAGGCAGAGGGGGGCAAAGCAGCAGTAGTGGGCCCAAGATTGTCCCTAGACTCTGAGACTGTATGTCTGGTTGAACTAGGTGGTGACTGGGGACAGAGCCAGGCAGATGTGTCTTACAGATGCTTTGTGCCCCACCTACTGTGTGGTACTCACCTCGTCTGTCGTACCTTCACCTGGACTTGAGAACTAGTTTAACCACATGCTTGAGATAGAGGAGTCAGTGTACCCCAATTTTCCATTTTACAGAAAGGAACACTAAGGCAAAACATGACTGGGAGTGAGGTAGTCTTATGGTCTGGTTCCGATTATACTACTTATTCCATGTGTCAGATAAGTCTCATCTTTAAGATGGTACTTGAAATTTTAAATTTTCTGTCTTTTTGTTGTTGAGATGGTCTCGTGTATTCCAGGCTGGCAATGAACTCATTAGGTAGCCCAGGATGGCCTTGAATTCTTGATCCTTCTGCCCCAGCCTCCTGAGTGTTGTGATTACAGGTATGAGCCACGGTGCCAGCCACATTTGCTGTTTCTGGCAGCTAGCTCTCCTGGTGAAGGTCAGACAAGATGACAATAACTGTCCTGTCTGTTCCATGGATATCTGGGTTCCCAGAGTAGTCAAAGATGGTGGTAGGGATCCCAAAGTAGTGGGACTTGGTCCAACAGGACTCTAGCCAGCTTCCCTGAAACATGATCTTCTTCAGGCTTCCTGCTGAACCCCAAGTTCCCTGAGAAGGTAGATGGACGCTTTTCCACAGCCCCCCTGGTGGACCTCAGCTTATCACCACCGTCTGGACTGGACTCCCCAAATGGCAGCAGCTCCCTGTCCCCTGAGCGCCAGGGCAATGGCGACCTGCCGCCATTGCCTACTGCTGCGGTAAGGAGGTCGGAGATTCTAGAGAGACAGAGGCTCCCTGGGGCTCCTTGGCAAGTGCCACCAAATGGGTGGTTTATGAGAAAGGAATTCTCCCAGTTCTAGAAACTCCGAGTAAAGATAGTGATAAGACCATGCTCCTAGAAGGCCCCAGAAGCAGGCTCCTTCCTTGCTCTTAGGTTCTGGAAGCCCTAATGCTAGGCATTCACCCCCAGCTGGTAACGACATCTGTCGTGACCACATCTTCAGCTGGCCCCGTGTGTCTGTCTGTCCAGGCCTTCCTCTTTGTCAAAAAGACATAAGGTGTTGGATTTAGGGTCACCTTACTGTAGTAGGACGTCACCTTAACTAATCACTCCCCAAAAGACTATTTTCTTTCTTTCTTTTTTTTTTTTTTTTTTTCTTCGAGACAGGGTTTCTCTGTAACCTTGGAGCCTGTCCTGGAACTAGCTCTAGACCAGGCTGGCCTCCAACTCACAGAAATCCACCCTCCTCTGCCTCCGGAATGCTGGGATTAAAGGCGTGTGCCACCACTGCCTGGCTGAAAAGACTATTTTCAAACAAGGTTATCTACACACACAGGTGCCTTGGATTAGCACTCAGGGTGTCTTTTAGGTTGTTATCATCTTTCTTTTCTTTTCTTTCTTTCCCTTCCTTCCTTCCTTCCTTCCTTCCTTCCTTCCTTCCTTCCTTCCTTTCTTTCTTTCTTTCTTTCTTTCTTTCTCAACAAGGTGTCTCTGTCCTAGCTATCCTGGAACTAGCTCTTGTAGACCAGGCTAGTCTTGAACTCACAGAGATCTGCCTCCTGAATGCTAGGATTAAAGGCATGCGCCACCACCACCCCGCTTGTTTTTATTTTTATTTTATTTTTGAGACAGGGTCTCTACATAGCCCTGGCTGTCCTGTAACTCACTATGTAGACCAGGCTGTTCTTAAACTCACAAAGATCTGCCAGCCTCTGCCTCCCGAGTACTGGAATTAAAGGTGTCTTACAACTGGCTGCAGTGATATAAATTAACATTGTCCACAGGAGGGTAAAGTGATGAGTCTGGCCTAGAGGCAGTGGCGGCACACACTTAATCCCAGCACTCAGGAGGCAGAGGCAGGTGGATCTCTGGGTGACAGCCAGGACTACACAGAGAAACCCTGTCTTGAAAAACAAAACAAAAAAAGTGTGGGGGTGGGTCTGGGCCTGCCAGTGGGGTACACTAACAGGCTCTTATCCTTACTCCTTAGGATTTCCAACCACTTCGCTATTTGGATGGTGTCCCCAGTTCTTTCCAGTTCTTCTTGCCCCTGGGCTCTGGGGGAGCTCTGCACCTACCTGCTTCCTCCTTCCTCACGCCCCCCAAGGACAAGTGCCTCTCACCAGAGCTGCCCCTGGCAAAGCAGCTGGTGTGTCGATGGGCCAAGGTGAGTTGGGAGCTGGGAAGAGTGGTGAGGGCTGGGCCGGTACCCTACTTGGGATCAGAACCCTGCCTGCCTGGCCCTACAGTGTAACCAGCTCTTTGAGCTCCTCCAAGACCTGGTTGACCATGTCAATGACCACCATGTCAAGCCGGAACAGGATGCTCGGTACTGCTGCCATTGGGAGGGCTGTGCCCGCCACGGCCGTGGCTTCAATGCCAGGTGAGGGAGCCGGGTAAGGGCAGGAAGGGAGGGGCTGGGTGCCCATTGAGCTGAGTGTGCCTCTGGGCCCTCCCTGGAGCAGGTACAAGATGCTCATCCACATCCGGACTCATACCAATGAGAAGCCACACCGATGCCCCACCTGCAACAAGAGCTTCTCCCGCCTGGAGAACCTGAAGATCCACAACCGCTCCCACACAGGTAAGTTTCTCATGGAGGAGCTAGGGGATGCCAGGGAAAGACCAGAAAGAGGGACAAATTGCGTTGTTCATGTCCTGCTCCCCTTGTTTGAGACAGGGTCTCATGTAACCCAGGCTGGGTCTAACTGTGTACCAAGGGTGGCTATGGACTCCTAATCTTCCTGCATTCATCTCCCAAATGCTGGGGTTATGGGTGTGGTTTTCCTGTTACCTTGAAGGCCATTTGCTGGAGAAACCCTTACATGGATATGATCTTCTAACACCACCTTAGGACTGGCAGACTGGGTCTGCCTCTCTTCATTGTACCCTGAGCCCCATAGACCCACATACCTTATTTTAAGTTACTCAGTTAGTACACTGAAAAGAGCAAGCTGGGCATGGTAGCACAAGCCTTTAATCTCAGTGTTTAGGAGACAGAGTTCAAGGACTACCTGGTCTATGGAGCAAGTTCCAGGCCAGCAAGAATTATATAATGAAACCATTTCTCAAAAAAACAAAATAAACCAAAAGGAAATAGGTGAAATTAAATTAATTGTAATTATGTATCCTATGAAACCCAATATATAAAAACATGTCAGCAAACCTAGGCATGGTCATGAATGTCTGTATTATATTCCCAAATAATGAGGAGGTTGAAGGGGGGAGTTGAGTTTTTTTGTTTGGTTGGTTTTGGTTTTTCGATATAGGGTTTCTCTGTGTAGTCCTGGCTATCCTAGAACTCATTTACTGGAGTTCTGGGATCAAAGGCATGCCCCATTGCCCGGCAAGCTCAGGAGTTCAAGGCCATCTTAGCCAACACAGTAAGATCCCATTTCAAAAAATTAAAATGACCAAAACTAAACGGCAGAACACTGAAATCCTTCCTTTCATGCAAAGTCTCGAGATCTAGTGTGTCTTAGCCTCACAGCACATCTTCTGAGCCCAGCTTCATTCAAAGGCTGAGTGGCTACAGGTGGCTCCTGTCCTGGTTAGCATAGTGACTCAGTGATTCAAGCCAGATAAGGTGGTGCATGCCTTTAATCCCAGCACTTAGGAGGTAGACAGATCTCTGAGTTCAGCCTGGTCTGCAAAGCTTGTTCTAGAATAGCCAGGGCTACACAGAGAAACCCTGTCTCCAAAAACAAGACCAAACGACAGCAGAATTGTGAGCTGTTCTGTGCAAGGCCACATGAAAGGCCCAGGCAGCATTGTTAGTGCTCACCAAGGGCACACACTCCAAGGTCGGGTTCTGCCCAACAACAACCACAGCATCTATAGCAAAGGGATCTGAAGGGTGTATAGCAATTCTGGCTGCTGTCCTTAGCTGGGTCAGCCTCATGCCAGGTACAACGACTGTCTCCCAAATCAGAGTCAGGATGCTTCAGGAGCTCTGGGCCTGGGAGAGGCAAGGGGATAGGTGGCAAGATCTGGCAGAGTTGAGACCCCTCAATGCAGCCCACCCCTACAGGTGAGAAGCCCTACGTCTGCCCCTACGAGGGCTGCAACAAGCGTTACTCCAACTCGAGTGACCGATTCAAGCACACCCGTACCCACTACGTAGACAAGCCCTACTACTGCAAGATGCCTGGCTGCCACAAGCGCTACACGGACCCCAGCTCACTGCGCAAGCACATCAAAGCCCATGGCCACTTTGTGTCTCAGGAGCAGCAGGAGCTCCTACAGCTGCGCCCACCCCCGAAACCACCACTGCCCACTTCCGACAGTGGCTCCTATGTCAGTGGAGCTCAGATCATCATCCCCAACCCTGCTGCCCTTTTTGGAGGTCCCAGTCTACCTGGCCTGCCCTTACCCCTGGCCCCTGGTCCCCTTGACCTCAGTGCTCTGGCCTGTGGCAATGGTGGGGGTGGGGGCATGGGCCCTGGGCTGCCAGGCTCTGTTCTGCCCCTCAATCTGGCCAAGAACCCGCTGTTGCCCTCACCCTTTGGGGCTGGTGGACTAGGCCTACCTGTGGTCTCTCTCCTGGGTGGTTCTGCTGGTAGCAAGGCTGAGGGGGACAAAGGTCGTGGGTCACTGCCTGCCAGGGTCCTGGGCCTAGAGGACCATAAGCCTCCCTTGGAAAGGACGGAGCGCAGCCGCTCCCGGCCAAGCCCTGATGGACTCCCCTTGCTACCGGGAACTGTACTGGACCTGTCCACAGGCAACTCAGCAGCCAGCAGTCCAGAGGCGCTAACTCCTGGCTGGGTGGTCATCCCTCCAGGGTCTGTGCTGCTCAAACCAGCTGTGGTAAACTGAACCTGGGCTACCCATCTACCAGCTGTGACAGCCCAGCTACCTACTGTGGGCTCATCCCCTGACGAACAGAAACTATTCTGCGAAATAGCAATAATATCCTACTGTTTCAGGGGCCCAAGTGTCTGCTTCCTGGGAAGCTGCAGCCCCAGACAAACTGGGTAGCAAGGATGGTGCTAGCTAGGTCTTTGGTGGCTCCAGAGTGCCGACTTGGCTTGGACCTGTTGTCCAAGGAGGCCATGTATTGGATGCTAAGGCCTCACTTGCCTCCATTCCCTAGCACATCATTTGGGGGAGGCCTTCCTCTGCCTGTCCTCCAAGGACCCCTAGTCCTGCCTCTTGCTCTGGTACATTCCTCTCTGTGAGCAGTCTGGGCAGGTTGTTATTTCTCCCTGCCTTACCTACTTGTCAACTGAGAAGCCCTCAGTGATCATAAACCCATGCTTGGGAATTCCTTAGACTCCTTTCTCTCTGGCACAGCCCCGGAGGGAGAGCAAGACAGACACAGGCCAAGCTACAGGAAAAAGCTGCCTTTTCCTACCTACTGCTATGACAAGGTGTTTCCCTGCTTACTTAGCAGAGAAGCCTGCTGCCAGTGCCCCCTTCTGCCTGCATCAGTCAGCACTGCCAAAGGGTTGGCAACACTTTCTAAAGAAGGGGTAGCTAAGCACTCGCCTTTCCCTCGGGAGTGTACAGGCAAGTTCAAAGGATCATGGCACTGGTCCAGGCCAGCTTGGGTTGGCCTGGCAGGGTTATCCTGCAGAATCCTGGCTATCCTGCAGTGTCTACACCAGTGGATACCAGGCTTGGGAAGCAGCTACAGGTTTGGGGGTTACAAGTCATGGAATGCAGGAAGAACTGATTCATCAGACTGGAGCTTTCTAGAAACCACGAACTGAAGCCCATGGGTGTGAGGGAGGCTAGGTAGCCAAGAACAGCTCTTGGAGGACCAACTGCCTGCTAGCTTGAGCGTGGACTGGACATGTGACAAGGTTGCTTTCTTTGACTTTCCAGTTGAGTCCTTTTCTTGGTGGTGCCTCTTTTGCCCACAAGCTCTACCCAAGCCAGCTCCCCCAGGGCTTCTACTATTCAGAATAAGGTCTAGCACTGATGTAGGGCTAGAAAGCCAAGGACATTGGAGGACTGTAGTCTACAGCTCCAGAATGTGCCAGCTTGGGCCTCTTGCTGCCCCCTGTACTATGATGCAGAGTGGCTAAGCTCTTCTTCCCATCTGTACAACAAAAGAGTTGCTGGGATGGTAGGGTCCTCAGTAGCTCTGTGGTTCCTCTGAGCAGCTTGCCTGTTTTTTCCCAGACTGCCCTTCTGTTTCAGAAGGGTCACCCTGACCTGACTTACCCGACTGCTGGGCTTAGGACCCCAGCCCTGATAGGGCTCGGCTGTGCTGGCTCTACCCCTTGAAGGGGCTGTGAGCAAGTTAAGGAGCTGGTCTCCTGTCTTCGGGTCTACCCATGATCCAAGCAGCCTCTTGGCTCCATTAGGGCCCCTAGGCCTTTCTTAGGTCCCTGGCTGAGAACTGGGTTTGAGATTCAAGCCTGAGAGCAGAGGAACAGGGCACTGGAAGGTGACATTAGCTCAGCATGTGATTCCGTGATAGACCAGGCTTGGAAGGCCGGTGTACTTGTCAGTCTGTTGTTGCACATTCCAGGACATCAGTATTTTAACAGGTTCTAAGTGCCTTTCTATTGTAGCTTATGTTTTTCCTCCTTTTGGCTCCATTGCTGTTAGCATAGAGTTTTAAAAAAAATAAGCTAATGACTATAACAATTTATTTCCTCCATGTGAGAGGAAGTTTATAAAGAAACAATAAAAGTGAGTTGCAAAGATGGTTTCTGCATCTTAGATGTGCCAGGAGCTGGGTCACTTGCTCTGTTCCTCGTCTGGAGCTTTCCCCTCAACCTGCCACTCTAAGGAAGAGATCAGAAGGCCCACCCACTGGGGACTACAAAGGGAAGACCTGGAAGGATAGGTAGTAAGGAACAATAAGATAGAGATTATCCTCAACTACAAGGCCCAGGCCTTGGTCCAAGCAAGAGGCTGGCCAAAGCCGCTTCCTGCTACACATGAACATTCTGACCAAGTCACTGAAAGCAGTATGCAACTCCAGCTGGAGTTCTGAGGCTAGGGGTTCTTTATCTTGAGGGAAGGCATGGGCAGACCCTTGGTCTCCTCAGGACTGTGTGGTAGAAGACACAGGAGGGAACAAAGCCTCTGACAGATCCTGGCCAGGCTTCTAAAGTGGGTATGTGGCTGTTTACCAACATCCCACCCACCAGGCTGTCAAAGCTGCTGCTGCCCCCTGACTCTTTTCACAGCCACAAATAGGAAGTGAGTGACCTTCTCAAATAGGAATATAAGCACTGGAGAAACATGGAAAAGACATTTATTACCAAGCTATAAATTATGAGGCAATGGGTGGGGTGGAGTGTGCCCAGCAGTCACGTTTTGGGCATCTGCCCTTTCTTTCTGTCTTCCTGGGCTTGTATTCGGAGTTCCTCATCTAGGCGTTCCTTTGCACGGACAACCTAGGAGGAGGAAGATCAGGCTCTGGCAATCTCTGCTCTTTGCCTGAACTAAGGGCCTTTTCCCTTCCTGTCCCAGGCCCTAACAACCTCCCTAGAGGACAGCAGACTGCCAAGATTCAAACAACTTAAGTAGCACTCTAAGGTGGAAGGGGAAGCCTATGGCTTCCTTTCCTCATAGAATTAAAAGCACTCACCTTTGACTGCAAGTAGAAGGAGCCACCCACGGATTTATCGTTCACTTTAAATAGGTGTTCATAATTCTGCGGAGATGAGACAGTGGACATCAGGGAAGGCTGATGGCAAGAGAAGTTAAAGGGCCTGACCTCTAACCCACATGTCATGTAGGAAACTGCTGTGTCCAAAGGATACAGGTAACCCTGTGGGGATGGCTCAGCTGCTACAGCTAGCTGTGTCTCTACTTACACAGCCAGTCTCTCACTGGCTGTGGTCAGAGCTTCCACACCCACCCTCCTCTGACTGCCCATGCAACACAGTCCCATGACCCATGAGGGGCCTCACCTTCTGGACCTCCTCAGGGTTCAGCTTGGAGATGTTGAGAATCTGCTGGGCCTCCTGGAGGCTGAGGCCAGAGAGGTTGGATGCGGCTGCAGACTGGTGCCCAGCACGACCCCGAGCATCAGCAGCTGCCTGGCTTGCTGTGGATACATGGGTGACTGCTTAGCCCCCTTGGTAGCCCAGAGCTTCCCCCAGGCCTTCTAAGTGACACTAAAGAAACCCTTCTCCCAGGAGCAGCTTTTCTTTAGTACTGGCTTCTTTTTGGAGGGGAGAGGCAAACATTCCACACTGAAGGGTAAGATGGGGTCAAACTAGGCTCTTGGTCCCCCAATCTAGACCACAAGATGACCTTGTCCACCCTCCTCCCCCCGTTCCTTGTCCCAGAGGCCTAGCAAATTTGAGAGCTTTAAGCTACTTTGGGGACTGTGGTAAAACTAAGGGAGGAACAGTAGCTGATGTCAGAGCCCCCACAACTGGCCTAGCCGGTACCCAGACTACCTGGGGGATTGCTTTCCTTTGGTGACCTTACAGTCAAAAGCCAGCAAACTTTCTCTTCAGATGCCAGATAATAAACATTTTAACTCTGCAGCCAGTTAGTCTGTGTTGGAATTACTCAGCTCTCCGTAAAGGCAGACAGAAGATGGGAGTATCTTACTTTATTTACCAAAATGGACTGCCACGGGGCCCATCTGCCCTGGACACTTGTGCTAACCAGGCCAAACTGAAAACAAACCTTTCCTGTATATAGGAATGTCTCAAAATCTGGCACCGCCTCCTCCCATGGGAAAGTACTCCAGCATCTAAGCCGCAGAACTTTACCCAAAAGAGGTCCCTTCATTCACAACTGACACAACCCACGGGAGAAATCTAAGCTGGGCAGGGCTCCCAGCATGCGGGAATAGTCTTACCTGCAAACTCCTGCCTCAGGGCCCGGGCAAAGGCTCTGCCCACCACCTGCACACCCATCACAATGATCTGGGCCAGGTACTTGGCCTGTGGACAAAAGGGACACCTTGGAGATGTGGGGATGATCTAAGGGCTAACTTCTCTAAACTCTAAATTCGCTGGCGTGCCCAGAGGTAGACTGGAAAGGCTGTAGGGCATGAAACCGACACTGACTTATGGGAGGAACCTGGCTTGAGAGTTAAGTGCACAACACAGGCAGTCCCAGACTGCCACCACCACCAGTTTAATCTATGCCAAGGCTGACAGCTCCTCTCTGCTTTTGGGACCATCGGGCCAGCGTCCATATTACCAGGGAAAAATAGATCCATCCTAACTCTCCCAAGACTTCAAGCCCTAGGACTTGGAATCTGGCTATGAATACAACACAACAACAAAATCACTAAAGGTCTGTGGTGTGCAGAGAGGGGAGGCCCAGGTAGGGTGCGCATGAGCCCGGATCTCATAATAAAACCCAAACAAATGGATGGCCCAGGAAGATGGTTCAGCAGGTAAGAGTGCTCCTTCTAAGAAAGAGCATGACTGTCCATGAGCCAACACTTTAATCAAGTCACTCTTAACTCTGCTTGGCCAAGGCTTCGTTCCCCAGGCAGGGTTTCCATGCTGCCATTGCTGAGTTAAGGTGGCTGCCCAGTTCTCCACGGTGCAAATTCATTTCCTCCTCCCACCTCTGACCCCAGCCAGCCTCATTCTCAGGATTCTCTCTCTCTTACCCTTCCCCCCCCATTGCAGCTGCACTCTTTACTTCTAGGTAAGCTCCCCTGCTTCTTGAATGCTTAATGTCTCCACTGCTTTCAGTTCCTTCACTATGAATACCTTCCTTTCTACAGAGATATGGCCAAGACTTCCCAGGCGCTATGTGGCGCAAACCTCAAACTCCAACCCCCGGGAGCCTGGGGCAGGAGGGTACCTAGACTTTGAGGCTAGCCTGAGTTACAGAGCAAGACAATGCCCCAAACCAAAAATCTTCAACACCCTTCAGGGCTTGGCAAAGCACGCTATAACCTGACTCCCAGGTGAAAATTCCTAGGCTCCTCCCACATGTACCTTCCCACAGAACTTTTCTTTGCCTCTTTTGGAAGCGTCCTGGGCACTGAATCCAAGGCCTCTCCTGTGGTGGCAAGCACTGTAACACTGAGCTATACCCTCAGCCTTCTTTACTAAAGTATGCAGGCTGCCCTGGAACTCCTGACCGTCCTTCCTAAGCCTCCCAAGTGCTGGGTTTGCAAGTGTAAGCCACCATGACCACCTGAGAGAAGTTCAGAGTTGAATGTGGAGGACACGTGATAAAGACCCAGTTCCACGCGGAATCAACACAAGTCCCACTAGATGTTGGTGACCCAATTACAAGGCAGGTACTATACGGTGGGAAATGTGTAGTCTCAACATGAGCAAAACTGGGACCCAAACCAGGTTCTGACTCTTCCGTGAAAGATTTAACTTCCTGGAAAAGTTAAATTCTCGGTCTTTTAAGTGTAAAAACGGGGACAACTGAGACAGATTACAGATTAAATAACAATCTACATAAAGCAACTAAAAGTTAACTGCCACCTTCCAATAAAGAACAGGCTCCCCAGCGGGGGGGGGGGGGGGAGGCGCACACCTTTAAAGTCCTGCACTGGAGAGCCGAGGCAGAGGCAGGTGGATTTCAATGAGATGAGTTTAAGACCAGCCTGACCTACTACACAGAACGTACGTGGACAGCCACGGCCTCATACACAGTGACACCCTGTCTCAAATAAGTAAATAAGCAGATAAGGAAACAAACAAATGGGCTCCCCCAACCAACCGCCTTCCGATCACTCGGTCAAACCTCAAGAACCTGCCTTTTAAAGGTTGCACAGGTGACCTGCATGTTTCCCACACAAACCAGGTCTCAATTTCAGCTTAGGTCCCAGGTCTACCAATTCCTTGGACGAGCCAACTGTCAAACGCAGTTAAAAACCGAGCGACATCACCGACAGCGCCGGGTCCTGCCACTCAGGAGCCGGCCCACCCTCCAGTTCCCTCCTCTCACCGCCTACAGCGGCTCGCTGACGCCGAGGCAGGGGACGCCGAGGCAGGACTTGGCCGGGGGCTTCCTGCCGGCCGAGCCTCGGTTCCCAAGCCCGCGGTCGTCCCCGCCCGGGCGTCAACGGTCTGCGACCCCGCGACATGCCACCGACATTGCTTCCTGTGGGGTACGCGGGCGGCTCACGACTCTGACTCGACCTCCCTTCCCGAGCCTCACCATGGCTGCAGCTCCACCTCAGGGGCACGGGTGCCGCTTCCCGACCCCGGGACCAGCTCCAGCGCGGCCGGTGGGTCAGAGGTCAAGGAAGACCGGAGAGCGCGTGCGCGAGGCCGCTGCGCAGTTCCAGGGACGGGACTCAGACGGAAGTCACCGTGACTGTAGGCGGAGCCTGCCTCGGGGTGAGAAGACTATTGGGCGAGCAACGGGCGGCTCTAGACTTTCGGTGCGTACTAATGCACTAAGCTTCGTTCCTTCACTTTCCCAAAATATTTAGGAAGAAGCCATCATATGAAATAAGTCAAAGTAATATAGGAATGGATGTCAAATTCTCTGAAATACTTAAGAAAACTAGGTACTTCAAAATAGGTTTAATTGCGGATTTTTCCTGCTTGTGAAACTCTTTCCTAGATACCCTTCAGGTTCGTCCCCACCCACCTCAAGTATGTAATCCAAAGCCACCTTCTCAGTGAGATCCATCAAGTTCCCCTACAACATTAATGCGCCCACCACGCTGTTCTGCTTTGGAGGGTCTGGGGTGTGCTTTAAACAACAGATGTTTATTTTATTTTCTGATGGTTCTGGAATCCTTTTTCTGGGGGGGGGCAGTGGTGTCGAGATAGGGTTGCTCTGTGCAGTCCTGTCTGTCCTGGAACTCTGTAGACCAGTCTGGCCTTGAACTCAAGAGATTACTTACCTCTGCCTCCTACTGGGATAAAAGGCATGCACCACCACCTAGCTGGTTATGGAATCTTTATGTCCAAGCTGGTCATGTTGCCAGATTTGTTTTTTATTTAAGTTCCTCTGATTGGCTTGCAGAGGAATATCTCTTCTCTCCAGGTCCTAACAAGATCTTCTCTGGTCTGTTCATAATCCACACACCAAACAGTTGCACCTTTTGAAGTGCAATTCAGTTCTGCCATCGCCACCGTCTCGTTGAGGCCATTTCCAGCCGCAGTCCCTTCCCTACTCTGGAAACTGTCCATGCTTGCTCTGGACAGTCTATAGAACCGGAACTAAGTGTGGTCTCTTGTGACTGCTTTATCCCTTCATGCTCCATTTGCTCCGTATTTTCCCTTGAAGCGCTCATCCTCTACAACAGCGGTCCTCAACCTGTGCGTCGAAATTCCCTTAGCAAACCTCTTTCTCCAAAAATACTTACATTGCAATTCATAACAGTAACAAAATTACAGTTAGGAAGTAACAACAAAAATAATTTTATGGTTGGGGGTCTCCATAACACGAGGAACTGTAGTAAAGGGTCGCAGCATTAGGAAGGTTGAGAACCACTGCTCTACGACATAATTCCTTTTGTAAAATAATCCAATAATTAATAATTAATTTAACAAATAATGAATTTAAATAATTTGATATTTTACTGTCATCATTTATTGCTATGCCTCCCCACTAGAGTGTGAACTCTGAGTGGCCAGAACATTTATGTGTTTCCTCTTAGCTATCAAGCCTGGAGGGCTGTCTGGCATGCCATGGACACTTATAGGTGTTTGGTGAATGGATTTAAGTCAGATTCCTCCAGAGCAGTGGTTCTCAACCTTCCTAATGCTGTGACCTTTAATACAGTTCTTCATGTTGTGGTGGCTCAACCATAAAATTATTTTTGTTGCTGCTTTGTAACCGTAACTTGCTACGGTTGCGAATCACAATGTAAATATCTGTATTTTCCAATGGGCTCAAGTGACCCACAGATTGCAAACCCCTGCTCTAGCCCACTGCCCATTCTTTCCTTCCTCCCTCTAGCTCTCCAAACTCTCTTACCCTGGTACACTGCTCAACTTCCTTTTGTTTGCTCTTGGCTCCTTCAGGTTTTAGTTTTCATTTTCAAAGAACACAAGTATCTCCTCTCGGCTCCCTGCCTTGACACACTGCTTGTCCTGCCCCCGAGGCAGTTCACAGATTTCCTCATAGCTGCTTTCCTATGCATGGCCTGGTTCCCTAGGACAAAGCTATATGATCAGCTGATCATTACAAAGTAAATGGAGCAAAGTAAAAACCAGTATGAAGGAGCCCAGAACCAAGTTCTCTCACTCATATTCTGTCCCCTTCTTTCTAGACTCCCAGAGACCAGCACGAGAGGCACCAACTTAGAAAAGTTTAATTGATGAGAACATCCAGAGCATGGATAGGCTGGTTGTGGGGTTCACACCACTGTAATGAAGCTGTTAGCTCCACAAGACCCTTTCTCCTGGCCTCAAGCCAAGGGAAGCAGGGCAAATGGTCCTAGGCCCCTGAGAATAAAGCTGCTCCCAGCAGCCTGGTGGGGGACCAGCCCCCAATGTCCTTGACTGGATCTGGGGCAGCAGGCAAGACAGGTTGGCATGTGGTAACTGACGATGTTAGATGAAGCCAGCAGAGAGACCAGGAGAGACGAGGCATCCGGGGTTGGCCCAGAGACATGCTACTGACACCCACTTCCCACCCACTGGTGTCACATGCTAACAGGCAGCTGGGATAAGCAGCCGGCCCCAGAGGGCAGAGGAGAGTAGGCCCAGCAGCAGTGGAAGTGCCTGGGGCCTGCAGGAAACCCAGGGCTCCTGGGCTCCATGTGCCTGCCAGGGCCAAAGCAGCGCTGTCCAGTTTGCAGAGATGCAAGGTGTGGAGGGCAGCAGGTGGTCCTAGGAGGTGGCAGTGGCAGTTGAGGCCAAGGGTGCCTGGTGTGCAGGCTAGTCCTGGGGTGAGAAACCAGGAGGCAGGAGTTAAGAGGGCCCAGGGAGGGAGGGTGCGTGCCACGGCGTTTACAGGAGGACAGTGCTGTTGGCTAAGGAAGCTGGGGCCAGCTGTCACTCACCCACTCATCTTCATCCACCCCTTCAAAGGAGTCCTGGGGCAATGGGTCCTCTCTGTTTCCCAGCTTCGCCACCATAGCATTAAGCAGCTGTGAAGGGAGATAGGGGAGGCACTGAAAGAAATGACTCCCTGACCTTAACAGCTTAAAACCCCATTTTTAACAGCAGTAATGCTGAAAAGGAGTCATTTCGGTTAGAACCCTGGCAAGGTTGATGGGTCTGCATTGTAGAAGATGCAAAGACAGTAAAAATGTGCACCAGAATCACCATAGGCTTAGGTCACCAGTCTTTAATTCTGGCTGGACAAGGGCTGTCTAAAATGTGTGTGCCTCGCTGCCCTCCCTGGCCTCCTGTGCCTTGGGGACAGCAGCAGGTCCCTGGGTATGACCCCTCCCCAAAGTCTAAGTGTGACACATGGCTTGTCCTGCCATCTGGGTTGGGGCGGTGACCTGGCAGGTAACCCAGCACATGGAGGACACTGCACAGCACAGCACAGCTCTCTCCCATGTCTGCACAGCACAGCTCTCTCTCTCTCCCATGTCTGCACAGCACAGCCCTCTCTCTCTCCCATGTCTGTACAGCACAGCTCTCTCCCATGCCCACCTCTTCCTTTTTTTGTTCATCAGACTTCTCTTCCAAGTACTGTGCTGAGGATGGAGCTCTTCGGGCAGGGGCCTCACGGGGGGCTTGGCTCACTGGGGTGGAGCAAGGACAAGCATCAAAGAAGGCCCTATTTAGAATCAACTCCCAGGAGATTCTCTGGCAGAGATCAGAGAGGTGGCATTAACAAGTATCAAAAACCCTGTTCACCAGATCTGCCCAAAATATATATTTGTAAGAGTATGCATGTGAGTCAGGTAGTGGCGGGCAGAGGCAGGAGGATCTCTGTGAGTTCAAGGCCAGCCTGGTCTACAAATAGAGTTCTAGGACAGCCAGAGCTGTCACACAGAAACCCTTGTCTCAAAAAAAAAAAGTGCATGTGTTGAATACAAAACATGTGTATGTGTGTTTAGATATGCATGTGTACTAGGATAAAACATAAACCACAGGACTTGCCCTCCAGGGGTTCAGAGACTGGGTCTGGAGACATGTCCAGCCATCTTTAGGTGAGCCAGGTCTCTATGTGGCAGCAGAAATGGAGGACTTTACTTGGACCTTCTGCTCCTTCCTCCCACTCCTGTCCAGACTCCCACTCCCCCACTGTCTCCCCATTTTATCCCTTACTCAACCTGGGGTCATGCCCGGGGGCTGCAAACTCAGTAGCTGGGGCTGTCCATTAGCACCCCCCAGCCAGGCTTTGGCATTGAGTACTGGCTCCCAGCTCACAGCTGTGTCCGGGAACACATCATCCTGGAAGAATTCTTTCTGTAGAGGAAAAGGGGATTATCATGAGACACTGACCAGGGGCCAGGGACCATGAGACCTGGCCTCACCCACACTGGCAATCACATGCTTTGCAAAATTTCAGTAGAATATAGATGTTCCCCAAAACTAGACAGTGGGGAGCTTTGGATGAAAGAACAGATAAGAACCTAAATTCCTGGGTCCCTGGTCAGCCACAAAAGGAAGGGATTGAGTCCTTGACCCAAACTCACCCTGACTCGGGGCAGCCGGAAAGCAATAGGCTCCAGGGAGGTCTGGCGTAACCGCAGGCATCGGGCAAACTCCACTTCCCGAATGTCACACTCCGTCTTGGGCAGAAGGACAAAGCCCTAGGAGGAGTGAGGAAGTAGAAAGTAGAGCCAAGAGCTCCTAATTGGATACAGGGCACCCTAAGGTAGCAGAATTCCTCACTTAGGCCAGGAGGACCACGGCCTGCCCTTCGGTAGCTGCAGTGGTCTGAATGAGAATGGTTCCCATTTATTTGAATGCTTGGTCCTCTGGTGATACAACTATTTAGGAAGGATTAGGAGGTATGTTACTAGGGATGGGCTTTAGGGTTTTAAAAACCCACGCTATTCCACAGTTAGCTCTCCCTCTCTCTGCCTGCTGCCACTCCCCCTGCCATAAAGGTCATGGACTCGCCCTCTGAAACAGTAAGCAAGTCTACAATTAATGATTTCCTTTCTCAGCTGCCTTGGTCATGGTGTCTCTTCACAGCAATAGAACAGTAAATAAGACAGTAATGGTGTGCTGCCAGTGGGAACACGAGTTTTTACGGGGAAAAGACCAGACATGTACCACTGGCCTATTCTACAGAGGACAAAGTCCCACCATGGCCCACTTTAAGCAGTACTTAAAGTAGTATGCCACAAGCCATTGTGGGACAGGTCCCCTGTATGAGTTTAATTCATGTGCATACCACATTAAGGTAAGCAAGAAATGAAGCAGAATTTGTTCCCTTGG